CAATATATGAAATCTAATGATGCAGTTTTTCTTGGTTTGGACTCAATTATAGGAACCAATTGAAATTTGCCAAAGAGCTGGAGAGAAAAACTTTTTTCACATCGACCGGTACCTTTTTTGGTGCAATTTCGCAGTTGGTTCAGTATTTTTACATTTTGACACGTGTAAAATCACTGTATGAAGGTTCAAATCAAAAATTCTGATCATTTTCCGTCGATTTGGTGTTTTGGCCATTGATGTTTGTTGAAAATCCGATGTGAGAGCGCTACTTAGCAAAATGTCTATCAAAAGTGTAAACCGACGAAATTATTGGCACCAAAATGGGTTCAGACTGGTCGGTAATGGTCATATTTGGATTGTACGGAAAAAATTGAGTCGATATAGGCTCAAAAACTGTGTTGTAAGTAGTGATTTTGAGGTTTTATGACGTTATTGTAGCGAAAATGTGAAATTTCGGTCGATTTTGGCCATATATTCACCCCTAACAGCTCAGTTTTGCACTTTAGAGCATTGTAATATTGACCAAAATTGTAGTACTAGACGCCAGCAGTAAGATCCAGTCATTTGTTGTCCAGTATAATTGCGATATAGTACCAAAATTTTTGAATATTCTTCAATGTATTGATTTTATTCCCCTACAAACTACATAGCTCTCGGGGGAGTGGATTTGATTAGTAAAAGTATGTCGGAAAATAGCTTAAATTTATTTTTTCGGCCCAAATTTTCGGATCAGCGGTTAGGAGCTGCAAATTTTAAAACATTTGGCATTTGGGCTACCCTAATATCCACCGTCTAAATTTGATTTTTTTTTAAATTTTTCTTTCTTTGAAGATGCGATACTGTCGATAGCAGGCTCTGGGCATCATATTGAACAAAGACTCACCATGTACTCACGATTGAACCAAGGACTCATCAATTTGATGCAAATGAAGTCTATTTTACAATATATGATGGACATGGCCGAATCAATCGAACGAGAATTATTAAACATAGTGTAAGCAATGAGGTCACATAAATTTTTTTTAATTAAGGAAAAAATGACAATTTCTTCAACGAAGCGAATTTTCTTCAACACTTATGATTTTCAGAGGTGCCAATGAAGCGGTGACGCTCCGTTCAGTTATAGGCAAATATACCTGTTCCATTTATGCCTTAGAGAGTATGTTATATTTAACCACGGGGATAATGGACAAATATGATAATACAAATATTGACCTTGAAACAGCTATTTTAAAGGTAAGTAAGGTACTCCTTTCTTGGGTTTTTTTCCTTTCTAATTCGACAATTCTTCAATCATTTTATTCATTATTATTTACATTTCATTTTTTTTGTGTCTATGATGAGCATGAGTAGAACGTATTGAGACTTTTTGATTTTTTCTCTTGAGTTTTGTTCATTCAATCCTTTGTTCTTCAATTGCATCATCTGTCGGTTTTCATTTTTAATTGCAATTCAATATATGTATTTACTCAACAAAAAATTAAAAAGAATTTTTTTCTTATTTAAATTCTTTTTTATTTCATGAATTTCAGACGTATTCCCAAGACCAATTGCTGGATATGTCAATAGATCTATTAAATTTTGTTGATTCTCGAGTGACTTTATCTGAGCATCCGGTGAATGAATTGATTCGGAATGCGATTCAGTTGAAATTTAGCGAGTCAGAAAATAGGTTGAAGATACATATCGGCCGAGAGGGTATCCATTATCGTTTGGTAAGCTCCACCAATATTCTTCAAATTCAAAATAGAAAAAAACGGTCAAAAAATTGATTGAAAAAAAAAATTTAAGAAAAAATTTTGAGAAAAATTTCATCCAACATTTTCAAGCCTAAAATGTTCCAGCAAATGTCCTTAAAAAAAACTCCACCAATTTTACAGGCTCGTCTAATCGAAGAGGTGCAAATAAAAAAGAATAAGGAATTTGTAGTGAAAAATTTCCTGTCCGAACAGCAGTTGGATATGTACGCGGTGGAAATGCGACGGGCTGCCAAAGGTGTATTTGATTCAATCGATTTACTTCGTCTAGGAGTGTCCGCACTCATTTATTCAGAGGCACGTCATGAGAAAAAGATGCGTGATAGTGAAATCAAGAAGATTGCTGATGCAGCCGCATGCATTTATGCATCATATGCATGTCTATTACGTGGAGATCGTTCGTTGAAATTGCAATTGCCAAATGCACAGCCAGAAAGTACTATCGCTCAAATAGTCTGTGATCGAAATTCGGCCGAAGTAAAACGATTAACGAAATACATTGAAGATGGTCCAATCAAAACATTCGAAAGTTATCACGAGTATGTTGTACATTTAATGCTTCAGCCCAATAATAAATTTCCAGCCCATCCGTTGACACGGTTCTTTTAAATTTCATAAAATTTGTAGTGACATATTGTTGAATAAATATTTAAGGAAATGTAAACTGTTTTATGATATCATAATTTGCGTGCTTTTTTTTTCTTGAAACAAAAACAACAAGTTCTACAACTGGTCGTTGTTATTGCTATATTTTCGCTTTTTTTTTTGAAATCGCAAGTCAATATTTTGTTTCGAACAACGCTCATCAATTCAAAGATGTGAATCGAATGAATTTATGATCATCGTATTCTTTGTGCCTGCAAATTTTATTAGTAAACAATGAATAAATTTGTGCTATCACGTTGAACTGGATTTTTTTTAACGGAGTTTGTCCACCGGAGTTTTGCGTTGAAATGACAGAATTTTACCTGCGTTTTTGTTTTTGCGGCCACTGACTTTTGATTACGTGCTCAACATACCCATGCATTGATTATAATCATGCACGACTAACTGTGTGACATGTTATTATTATGTATGACGAAGAAAGTTTTCTTTTTCTATTCGATACTATCCATCGTTTGTAACGGCTTTTTAAGTACCAAAAAAGCAACAACCGAAAAAATCACGTCGAAATGTGTAAATCCGAAAGAAAAATTGCTGAAAATCGAGCACTATTATGAATGGATTATTTGTGATCATGCGGCTATTTGTTAGGAAAAATCAGGTGATGCACGCACATTTCGGGTCACAAGTTTTGAAATCATCATAGAAATAGCTTTGTGTGTTTGGCAATTCAAGACGCAAAATTCGATCATCTTTTGCATCCAAAAATGAAATTCATCACTTCAACCGACCATGAAGAGTAACGAATTGTAAGTAGTTTCATTGAAAACGTATCTTACAACACACACTTGGCCCATAACTTTTGAAATCATCGTAGAAATTGCTTTGTATGAATGAGAAATTCCACCCACTTTCGCATCGAAAAGTAAAATTTTCCTCTTCAACGAACCATAGCACTTTGATTCAGATTGTATGTAACAATGAACAAATGAATTAAATATAACCGTGAAAAGAATGCTGATAAAATTTATCGAAAAAAATTTCGCTGAAAATAAATGCAATGGTCCATGAAAATGCCATCGTTTGATCATCAAATTTTATTTTATTTTTTTGTTTTTCCTAAATTTAATGGTTGTTATTTAAGAAATGTGCGTTAGTGTTATGCTTCAATTGAAATTCGTAATGCGACCAATGAAAACTGTTGTTCTACTGTTGTGATCCCAAATATAGTAGATGAACGGATGGTCACAGTAGAATTCGGCTCTTGGCATTCCTCCGATTCGCTTTGTTATCATAAGTCCTGAAATCAATGAAAAAAGATTACATTTGAAAAAAGAAACGAATTTGGTAGTTTTCAGAGGAAATTGACTGAATATTTTTGACCGATTTCTAAATCGGGTCGGAAAGATCACTTTCAATCATTCGTACAACGATCGTATGAAGTCACAATTGTGAAAGAATTTGAAAATAAAACAACACAAACCTGTGGCAGCAGCAGCTTCCGAGCCTTCTTCATTAACTTCGATGAATGCTTTATGAACAGCATCTGATACTACCAATGGTTCTTTGGCTTGTAAAAGTCCACTCAAATCAGCTGCGCCTGAGAACATGTCAACCATGCCCAACTAAGTAAAAAAAAATCATATTTAAAAAAAAAAATTGGGTCATTTTCACAAAAATCATCGATTATCAACATACATTTTTCAAAACGTCGTTCAGCTTAATTTCGAATTCCACTTTGAATTTTGGAATATCCACTTTAACTTTTTGCGACCGCATTTCGGTTGTGATTTTCGTAAAATCATGACCTTTCAGCTTGGTTTCCAGTGTTGATAGTCCGGCATGACTGTTTGGCAAAATTAATACCATCGAATAGTTCGAATCTGCGTACTTCATTTCGAGGGCAGATGCATCCAATTCGGGTAACTCTCCATAATTGTATGTGCCTTCGATGTGCATAAAATCAACTGACACCGATTCCGTTTCACTTGTATAAAAATCTGCTTTAACCGTGAATTGTTTGTTGAATTTATACTTCCAATCGCCTTTGAAATAGACGGCATTTATCAAAACGACACGAGCGTCTGCATTCAATGTCGCCGGTTTGATTAAATTTGTGATCTTTCCTTTGGTCTTCTGCTCGACAAATTGATTGATGGTTTGGGCGGCTTCAGCTCGGTGCGCAAAGTTTATCGATTCAATGCCCGATGAAAATTTCTGAACGGCCACTTGTTGGAGATACTGATTTAACGGATAACCTTGTTGTACATACACTTGATTGGCAACTGAAAATGTTGTATTTCCAGCGCCTCGCTCTAGTAGTCCATAATACTCGTGGAACTGATTTGCTGCCGTCGGTTTGTCACCATTCAATTGCAGCTCCGAACGAATTTGCTCAAATGTATTTCCATCGGCGGCCTGTGACAATAGGGCTAGGACATTTGCCACAGAAAATGGGGAAATGATCACATTTCCAGTCGTTGATTTTGCACATTCCTAAATGGAACCGAACAAAAAAAAAAACAAATTTTGCATCAGAAACTGGGCTTTCAACCATTTTTCCGCAAATTTTTTATTCAAATTCATTTTGACAAAATGCAATTCATTTCAATGCGATTCAAATCAATGTTTTTCTCCAATATTTTTTTTTTTTTAATCAATTGTGATTTTTGCTCTAAGTTTTGCTGCTAATCCGTTCATTCTCCCACTCTTCTCATCATTTTCACAAATCAAGTTACCTGATAAAAATCCGATGCAAAATTGGAAACACCCGTTGTCAATTCATTTTCAGCCAAAGCAATTGAGCAAATCACAAATAAAACTATTGATCGTAGCACTAAAATGATTTGAGTAAAAAAAAAGTCATGAGGTTACTTTTGATGCACTTCAATGGAAAAAAGACACTTACTTTTGCCAGATGAATATAGGATCAACACTTATGAACTTATTATACTTCAAGGGAAGAACCTTCAAAGTACAAGCGGAATTAAAAAGATGAAAAAATGAGCGATAATCCAATAAAAATCGTCTTCTACGTCATAAACGATAAACATAAACAACAACAACACATTCAAAATGTGTATTGAGCAAAATCCGTTTTATTCAAATCGTTCGTTTCAATTTAATATTTTAAATTTTTAACAATTGTAAACATTTTCACAAAATAAAACCGTTAGAAAAAGAATAAAACTTGAATACCCATCCAAAGTGAATACTACTGAATCGTTACACTAAATTCTCGCGACTGCAGACGATACGCTCGTCTTTTCGGCTATAAAGTTGAATGTGAAATAATGTGTTTTGGGCTACTTCAAAAGTGAAAGTGTGTTTTTTATGTTTATATTCATTATAGGTATACTGGTTTAAGAGTTTGGTTTGCGATTTTGCGAAATATAGACACAACACTGATGAGATATACCAAATTTATAATCATAACGTGTGTGTGTATTTTTTTTTCGGATGGCAAGTCAAATAATTTGACTTTTGCTCTTTTTTATCAATTGCATGCTGCGAAATATGGCATTCGCACGAATATCAGAATATGTAAACACCGAC